ACTAATTTCCTGTTTCACTAACTTTCTTGACCTTCTAAATCTCCTGTCATATCAGCAAATTTAAATTTCTTAAATTTATGATGTTTTTCTTTAACTTTCTCTCTTAAACTCTTTGTGAGCCAACCTGGTTTTTTTTACTTGCAGCTACCCTTTTCTTTCTATAAGGAATATGTTTACATTGAATAATTAGAAATGTTCCACATCTGATCAGTGTCTCCAAATAATTCAGCTGCCCAATTCACAACAGATAATTCTTGTTGCATCCCTTCAAAAGTTGCTTTTTTGAAATTTGTAACCAAAATTTCATTATTCCTTATCTCCATATGCAGCAAAACATCTAATCTAATACAGCAATGATCACTTGCACCCAGTTGTTCCCCAATTTCCACCATCGCAATAATTTCTGTATTTGATGTTAACAATAAGTTTAAAATAGCATTATTTCTAGTAGATTCTTTGGCTAATTGGTGAAGAAAGGCATCCTGAACAGTTTCCAAAAAGCATTCTACTTCATGGTTTCACTCTAGAATTTCCCAATCTATATGCCTGAAATTAAAATCACACATACTTATGACTTCATTAACAGCTGAAATCTTAATCTCACTATAAAGTTTCTCACTAATTTCATCAGTATCATTTGATGGTCTGTAACAAATTCCCACTAAAAGCCTTTTCCCCTTTATATCCACTAATAGAAACCCAAATGGATTCAATCTCCTTGCTATTATCTTTGATATATCCTCAACTTTAACAAGATGTAACTCGCATTTTGCATATAAAGCCACTCCTCCCCACTCTTTAATACTCTATCCCTATTAAATACACTGTAACCCTGTATTTCAAGGAAATTTCTGTCATCAAAATCATCTATGTTTAACCATGTTTCAGCTATTCCCATTATATCAAAATCCTCCATTCCTACTAGTGCTCTAAAGTCATTTGTTTTATATCTTATATTTCTAACATTACAATAGTAGCAATTAAGCCCACCCTTATAACTATTTCTTTACTCATTTCCTATGCTTAATTTTTCTCTGCTTCATATTCTTTTTGCATTTAGTTTTTCCTGGGCCTCACCACTGTCTAGTCCTAGTTTAAAATTTCCCTTACAGCTGCGTTAATAGCCTTAACAAACAAGCCAACTGCTACCCTATTTAAATGTAAACCATCCATTGCAAAAAGCTGTTTCTTCCACTGAATTGATACCACAAGTCGAACTAGCCAATATGCTCATCTTTACATACTAACTTATGCTTAGCATTTAACCCTAGTGACCTACTTGTAACTTCATCCCTACAGTTAATTCTGGGCAGTATCTCTGACGAAATTCCTGCTCTGTCAATTATATCCTCCTCCTGTGCCCCTGGGTTGCATAATCCGATTCTTTTCTCCCTATTTACCCCACAGACTATTCTATCCACATGCCTTGTCATAACCTCCTTATCATCCACATCCTTCTCTGACCTTTTTTTTTTTTTTCCTTCCCTCAATAGTTCCTCATCTGCAGAAGCTAAGGGATGAAATTTGTTGCTCAACAGAATTGGCTCATTCTAACCAAATTCACCACTTTTAACCCTAACAGTACTCTTTCACGTGTTTCATGCTTCTAAATAATAAAAATGCAAATTATTACTACTAAGAAATCTCAAAAAGGAATGTGAAAACAGTGTCAATTGGAAGGCAGTGGATTAGGGTTTTCCTCAACTATTCTGGTTCCTAGAACCTATAGTTAAAGCAAAACTATCTAATACTTTGTTGAAAATCTCTAAACTTTCAAAAAACCTAAACTGTTAAGAAATTAGGGATAAATTGTGTTGTTTACTATAAACATTTTATAAATGTAGTTTGAGATTGTGGTTTCAATAACATAAAAAAAGAGTCTTTGAAGCTTTTCATACTTTTAATGTAATTATTATTATTTTTTGAAATGTTGTCCTTTATTTTTATTAAATAATTATATGATAATTTAGTTACTTATATTTTCTGTTATTAAGCAGAACAGTGTTCCCTCAAAGCTGTGAGGCTGAACAACAACCAATCAAATGCCACACAACTATTTCAGCTGTGCACATTCTCAGCAAATGGGAGGAGTCTCAACACGTTTATGGCCTTAATGACCCTGGTAATTGATAGGCCTAAAGCCCAACTAACCATCTGGTAGCATTGTCTGGTCTTATACTTCAATAGGGATGATGATCTAAAAATACCCCCCCTAAAAATACAACAACAAAAACTGATAGTGCACATTTGCACATTGCTTTGATACTGATGCACATGAAAAAATTCATTCCACACATAGACTAAAAAAATTAGAGGGAAAACTGAAGCATGTTTGTATCAATTACTGTTTTGCAATTTAATATTTATCCAGATATATGGAATTTTGCTAAACATCTATTAGTTTTTGAATCGTACTTATGATGGGAAAATATTTTCAACATTAACTCATAATTTGAATAATAAAACTACAATTTTGTTTTCAGAATTAAAGAATAGCAAATTATATGATGCAGACACTTGTTTATGTATACATACCAGATAGTTGACCAAGTAACAAACACATTATACATACATGTATATATTGTAAGAAAACTGAGGTAAATATTCATTTCAGTTTGTAAAATGTTTTAAACCCTTTAACTTCTATCTCAATAAGCGAAGAAAGTATTTTAGTTACACCTTGGTTTAATTAAGGTTATTTTTTAGTATAATTCAAAGGATGTGATCAGTGAGGAAAACGATGTTTGCATATGATCAGTCATATTTGTTACATCTGTGTATTTATAAAGCAGAGTTGTTCTTCTGTCTGTCTTGTATCAAGTTGTTCTGAGAAACTGGTTAACTCTGTTGAGCTTCCCAAAAATCAATGATAAATATTGAGACAAATGATTTGAGTTTGGCAGCCATTTCAAGCTTTAATGCAACAAATGAGGGCTCAACTGAGCAACGATGTCAGTAGCAAAAAAATGTATGTTTAATACAACATGTAAGATTTGTAGTACAGCTCATTTCACCCACTTATAGCATTACTTTTAAAGCCTACCACTGATGGGTACCTTTGCTATCATAACATATGAATAGTAACTTACAGCCCTTCCATTTGTTCTGTATGGTATTTAGCCCGAACCAGAAGATAATCCAAATTATTTAATATAAAACCAAAAGTCTCTCTATCAACATGTTTGGAGTCAGGTTTGTCATCCTTTGTGAGCTGATACCACTCTTGTTGATGTAGAGGGACAGATAATGTCACATTGTTCTCCTCTTTATGCTCATCCCAACCAGATCCAATACGAATACCATTTCCCTGTATAATGTAAATTAACAAGTTAAAATTCAATTATAAACAGACTATTAATATAATCCTTTTTATATTAAACAACATCAGGCAAAGCTACAAATATATAAAGAAACAAATCATAAATGAAAAAATATATTTGGGTAAAATATGGTGCTTTTGTTTTGTTTTTTTGGAATTTTGCGCAAAGCTACACGAGGGCTATCTGGGCTAACCATCCCCTAATTTAGCAGTGAAAGACTAGAGGGAAGGCAGCTAGTCAACTCTGCCAACTCTTGGGCTATTCTTTTACCAACAAACAGTGGGATTGACCATCACATTATAACTCCTTCACAGCTAAAAGGGCAAGCATGTTTGGTGGGACAGGGATTCGAACCCACAACCCTCAGATTGCGAGTTGAGCACCCTAATCATCTGGCCATGCCAAGCCTGAAATATGGTGCTACGAGTAAAAAAAAGAAAAATAACGATTTTAATATATCCTATATGTAAAATACATAGTAGTATTATATAGATTTCATCATAATATTGTCATATTTTACAACAGATATTTTTAAAATCCTGTAGAATCTCCAACTGATAATACTAAAAATTATAAAATCTCTTGTATACGGACAACTGATTTTGTTTTTCAAAAAATCTGTAATGTTATCAAATAAATTATATAATAAAGTTAATTATTTTGTTCAAGGTTACAGAAGAATGACACAAATATACATCTTAAAAAATCTGAAATTTGACTACACTATTATAAAGACTGAAGAATAAATCAGAAAGGAAGTTCTATATATATCATTAGGAATCTAAAGTACATAGATACATCTTCATTTTTAACTCAATTGCTCTGCCCCTATTTATAATTAAAAGAGTGAAGTTGGCAAATTTGTACCACTTCTAATTTGACTCACTCTAGTAATTTTTAGTTGCATTAGAACTATTGTAAGATATTAGTATAGCATTTCAAATTAATCTAATGGCTAAGTATGTAGAATTTCAAATTAACCTTATGGCTAAGTATGAAGTATTTAAATATTTTCAAGTTAAAAACACTTACTAAAACTATCTTTTTAATTCACCTTATCATTTAATTTCACTACACAAAAATATTATGGGTGAATACGACTTATCAAAATTCAATATTAAAATGATCCATTAAAAATAATCAGCTTTTACATTGTTGGCTTAACCCTAAAATGATATGATGTCTAGCAGTTCACCATTTCATGTGTGTATCAAAAGAGTATGCCATCCACAATCCTAATATATGTTCAACTTTTAAATATCAAACAAAACAGTAATTGCATAGCTCAAGTAACGAAAGGAAAGAATATCCAAAATTACTGTGGTCATTTATGTTTATTGTTTTTGTCCATAATAAAAAATAGCAAACATTTTGCTTTATCCTGTACAAAATTTCATTCATCAGCTTTGCCTACTTTTACTTTCTAAATACAAGTGAAATTTTCCAGTACTCTCAATCTTCATCCAGCAACAAAAAAGGGACTGGCGTGAGCATTTTTCTTGTTAATGGTATGAATGTGAAGAGAAAAGTTCAGCATGCACATTACAAAACTTTATTTTCAAAAATGTAAAATCTGGTTTAAAAAGGTTCTTAAAACAATCTGTATTTCACAGTTACTTGTTGCTAAGGGAAGAAACTCTGAAGAGTAAGCATACTAAGTACAGTAACAAAAGAAATGATGGAATGAGCACTTGAAATACACCAGAGAATCCTTACTTTGTCTTTTGGAAAGTTTACGTTACATATAATAATTGTAACACTTTTGAAGCATGAAGCAATGATGAGTTCAATATGCATTTACTCAGCTGAGGAAGACCAGAATGAGAGTGGCATCTGACGTCACCATTGTTTCTGGCTCTTTCTCATGTTATCATCCTTAAAGGAATACACTTCCCAATCATACATAGCCTACTTGATAATCTGCGTAATATTATCAATATCCTGATCTGCATATTATTTCCCTGTACAAGTTACTTTCCTTTAAAGGTCCAGTTAAACAATAATGATTACAGTGCAAGTATCTTGGGTTGAGGTAAGACAAAAATATCTGAAACTTATCCAAAAATATTTGATGAAAAAAAAGCTGAAATTCTGCTTTACATTCAGTTTGACTTGTAAGTCACTCAAGAATCATTATCAAGTTACACTGAATAAAATATGATGTGGTGAATTGGATCTAAGCTGAATGTAGCTTAACTTTTAAAACACATGAAAAAATGCCAAGTTGCTTTATTTTGCTGTGTTTATGAGCTAAAGCATAATCTTTTATTTATTTTTTTGCTCAAGCATTTATAGATGGATACTAGAACTACTTTTCCTTTTAAAAATGTAAAAAACAATATACAGAAGACCTAGCTAAGATATTACTATTATCTAAATTAATCACTAATATTCAAATACTTTATATCTCTTAATTTCATCCATGCTCTTTATATTGTGAAATATTATCTCCAATTTACTGAAAAAAGGCTTTCTTGGTATTATTGAAGATCATTTCCCTGTTAAAATAGCAGAGTATTAATTTTCACTAAATGAATATTTTTACCTTGAGAATGATATCTGGTCCTCCTGTATGCATGCCTGAAGTGTCCCCACGAGGTACAATGTAGCTTGTAATAAAGGTCAAATTTGAGCCATATGAATATAGCTATATAAAAGAAAAAACTTTTAAATTCCATAACATTTTGTTCTTTTTTCTATATTAAAGACCTCCGAAAATAAACCACTGAACGTTTTTTAATTAAATCAAACAGATACACCCATGTCAATGGTTTATATTTTAATAATAAATATCATATCACATAAAGTTAAAGCACGATAACATTATACAAGTAATAAAGTATATTATCTTGTTTCTTCAACATTTTTTACTTTCAACTTAAGTAAATCCAGAGGTCACCTAGAGCTGTTAATATTGCACACTTCAAGAATGAATTTTTTATAATATCCAACATGAACATACAACTATAGACTTCCTGGTGTTGACATTCAGTCTATACAATGAAAAGAAATTAACAGTTTTGATTTTTTAATAAATTTTAGCTTTGTTCAACTTTTAATTATCTATGAAGTTGAGTCGTAACTCTTGTATTGTGGAATTTTATTCTACTTTTGTGTTTTTCATTTTGTATATTTCAGATTTAGACTGTTTAGGTGTTTTACCTGGATCTTTTGAATCTTCTTTGTTTCAATGGTGTGAAATTTCTCTTTTTGTTTAGCTCATTCAAAATTTTTTTTTTTTTTTATTGTCTCAATCACACCTGTTAAACATCAGTTTTTAATTTAAAAATTTTACTTATCAGCAATATAAAACTTGCAACTCTTTAGACTGACTATGAATACGAACAAATTACAAATCTTCTGGCTGAAATATTAATAAATTAACTTACCTTATTTCCTAAGTATGCTGGGGGTGCTTTCCAATAGTAACTATCAAGATCTGGCACTTCATCAGCTCCAACAGAGAATTTTTCATTTATGTACAATGCATTAATATTTTGTGAACCTTTTATGTCTGACACCAACCAGCCTTGTGTCTCAGTTATCTGAAAGTTTCACAATTCTTGCTATTTCAGACTTTAAGCACAAAAGTGTAAAACCAAAACTCCATAATAATTTTCTAAAAACAAGTTGTATTATACCACAGGATAGTAATGTTTAAGTGAAGATACATGTACCACAGATACATCTTATCCCATTATTAAGCAAAAAAATAATCTTAAAATTGCTTATCTTATTCCAAACAACCTGAAATCATATTCCAGTAATGCTCCCACAGACAAATCTTTCAAATATAATTCAACTTTAATCAATTATATATTATATATTGTTTACAACAAACATATTATGTGACTTTCTTTTTTTTATAGATGCATTAAACTACACTGAAAACCACAGGAAGGTCTATTGAAATTTTTCAATTAAATGGGACCACTGAATGAGAAGAATCAAAACCTACCAAATGAAACAGAAACCTGTATTTAAGTGAAATAAATCTTAAACTAATACTTGAAAAAAAGGAAAAAATTAAAATTAGTCAAATGAATCAGAGAACAAAAGTTAAAAACTACATTTGAAACTCTGCCATTAAGTTTTTTGGCATTATGTTAATAAAAAAATTAAATTTTTTTGTACATTTCAGAGTTTACTTTTTGATAAGAAAAATCATTTTTGTTTTCATTTCTTTCATTGCAATTCAATCTGTTCACAATATGCCAAAAGAGTAGATATATTGAACTGAAAGTGTTCATAATAATTAACCAAAAGTTAACAGAGAGATATATATTTTTTGTTTTAAATTAATTACACAAATGGTTATATGACTCACTTTATAAACTAATTAAGTTAATTATTTAAAATTTGCTAGATGTTAAGGTTAACAGGTTGATTTTCTGATCCTAACTACTGAAAGAGTACACTTACAGTTTTGACACCCCAGTCACTCACTTTACAGTCATGTGTAACACCAGAACAGAAACAGGGAGAACAACCTTCTGGATTGTTCTCATCTAAATTGTAGTGTCCGGACTTGCATCGATCACAACGAGGACCTTCAACATTCAGCTTTATTAATAAAAACATTTCAAAAATTAGAGATAAGAATGAAAAAGATAATTACCATAAACTATTAAACAACTATAAAAACTCATAAACATAGGAAAATTAGATTTTCATTTTGTAATATTTGAATTTATGTTTAATACATCATTAAGTATAATTTTACTTTTACAAAAAAATACCTTGTTCTCATAAATATTTATCACCTGTGCCATAAGCCAACATTAATAGTCTTCTAGTATTAAGTAACCTTAATTACTGCAAATAATAGAGAATGGGAAACATGATATCTCAGTTGATTTTGCAAATATCTTAACACGACATTACTTCGAAAAACTATGCAATGCTCAACTTGTGTTAACTTCAAATGACAGCATGCTATCTTTGCTACTGAATCACATGGTATATAGCAGAGATACTTTTGAAATATTTCCTAAGGGCCTGCAATAAGGTGACAAACTAAATTAAAAAATTAACCCAATAGCTACTTCATGAAAGCTAACATTCATATACTTAAATTAAATGGCTACTACACTCCTTCCTTCCCTCAATCATGGATAAACTCTAAGCTTAACACTAAAAGGTTGTTTTTTTGCTAAAATTTGTGATATTCACAAACTTATGCATTATACCTGTGTCCATAAAGATGAAATATAAAAAAGCATTGCTACCAATCAATCTAAATGAAGAAAGTTGATAACTACTTCTAATACAGCTACTTTGATGTGTTTCTAGTTCTCTAACCTTACAAACACAATCTCCTTCACAAGTTGTTCCACTGATAGTGCCTGCAAATAAGCAGGGACAGGGTTTACATTGAGGATAACTCTTGAAACCAGGAGCACACTTGTCACACTTTTTTCCTGTATAGCCTATTCGACATATACAGTCTCCAGGAAGCTAAAAAAGTCAAAACAAGAATGAAATATCTTGAATTCCTAAGCTACTTGTACATGATATGAATTATAAATATCTAGACAAGTGCATGATACATACACAATTTGCACATGATAAGAACAAATATTTTGGATCATTCTACAGGGGGAGGGTAAAGTATCCCACAAATGTTGGTGTAAAAAATATTAAACAATGCTTAATAGTATTATCATCAATGAGTTGCTTGAAAAAACAACCAAAACACTTTCATTGGTTTTTTATACTTATGAAAACCTTAAATAAAAAGATGAATTGAAATTTCTACAAACTTGTTTCCACAATGACTGAGAAATAATAAATGTTATACATGACTATTATCAATTCCTTACTTGAAACAATCTATACTTTCCTTTAAATGCAACAAACCTACTTTTCACTCAATTTCTTTTATACATAACTTTCCAAGAATAGAATTGTTCAACACTATTAACTGAATGCTTGTAGCACAATAGTATACATAACTTTTCTACCACACAAAAAAAAAATATTCAGTTGAAAAGAAATACGAGTATAGTTTATTTTGATCATACTAATAATTTAGACAGTAACAAATATTGTTATCAATTTGTAAATATACCTAGGTATGCAAATATTTGTGAAATAAATTGTTGCATGTAAAGTAATTTAACTTTTTTTTAGGGTCACTAAATTAACAGTGAAACAATGTTACAGAAAATTACTTACCAAGTCTTCACTAGTATGAGAATCATCCTTTATGCAACTTCCTGTACTACCAGGTCCAGAACACTTGCACTTCCTACATGGACTTAGGTCCCACCTAGACACACTAGAAGGGCGGTAATAAGCATCCTCACAAGTTTCGCAGTTCACACCGAAAGTGTGATGCTGAAAAATACAATTTCTCAGCAATGACATATGACTACTTTTTTTAACAGTAGCAAAACACATACAACCCTCAACTATCCCCATGATGTCATATGCAAATAACCATGATGTATAAATACAAGAATAGCTCAGTTTACATTACAGAATACAAACAGTCATGCTACAACTGAAAGAATCATCAGAATTAACACTATTTTCATGCAGTCACACAGTTGGATAATGGGAGGGCAAAGTTAGTGTAAAATTCCAAAACACTCACAAGACCATTATGAAAATGCAGTTCTAGTTATACTGAGAGAAAATGAATAAATTTCTGCATAACCCAAACACCTAACAAACTTTATGTCTTTTGGGACACTAATTTTTTTCTTACAAGTCCAAATCTGCACAATTCTCAGAAAGTGGATACACTTGGGTTTTGTAACTACACAATGAAGAACTTTCACTGAACCATCTACAAGATACAAAACATAGTACAACTGTTATGGTGGGGAAATTATTGGGGCAGATCAACAATCACAGTATACAAAATGAGGGTCATTGCTGCTTGATAAATACATCACAAGTCTTGAGCAAGACCTACCTGTCTACACCAATGACCAGTTTACCAGGAAGACAGTGTTTTCACCTTCCTCTCTACACCAATGACCAGTTTACCAGGCAAGACAGTGTTTTCACCTACCTCTCTACACCAATGACCAGTTTACCAGGCAAGACTGTGTTTTCATCTACCTGTCTACACCAATGACCAGTTTACCAGGCAAGACTGTGTTTTCATCTACCTGTCTACACCAATGACCAGTTTACCAGGCAAGACACCATTTTCACTTACCTCTCTACACTAATGACCAGTTTACCAGGCAAGACACCATTTTCACCTACCTCTCTACACCAATGACCAGTTTACCAGGCAAGACACCATTTTCACCTACCTCTTTACACCAATGACCAGTTTACCAGGCAAGACACCATTTTCACCTACCTCTCTACACCAATGACCAGTTTACCAGGCAAGACTGTGTTTTCAACTACCTGTCTACACCAATGACCAGCTTACCAGGCAAGACAGTGTTTTCACCTACCTCTCTACACCAATTACCAGTTTACCAGGCAAGACTGTTTTCTTGCAAGATGGGAGTTACTACTTCTTCAGCCTTAGTCACTAAACTATGGCTTGAAGATCAGGGCATTACCACGCTCCCTTAGTTAGGACAATTACTAGATATGAGCCTCATGAGACAAGTGTGATTTATCCTTGATTGTTCCTTGCAAAAGTTTTCTACACAAACAACTTCTAAGAACACTCTCATCCAAGTTCTTTGCCAAAAGTTAGGTATAATCCCACAAGTGCAGGTTTTAGATTTTCAAATACATTGCATAACCATATTTCTGCCTTAAACATTACATATGGCATATCCACTATATACTAATGGTAATCTTGTTGCATATTTATTTAATAAAACTGCATTCTTTCTGGGGTGGGTTTCTATTTACTGTGCAATCCCATAAGTGCAGATTTCTGATCTTTTAAATGTATTGCATTACCATGTTTTTGCCTTAGATATTGCCATTTTTCTTTATTAGTACTTCCAATATAATTCAACAAGTATCCCAATAACCTTCTCTAATTATTTCAATACATTAACACAGTAATCTCAACAATTTCCCCCAATTACTACAATACATTGATACTATAATTATAATAACCTTCAACAATTATATATCCATATTATTTACTAGTTTATTTCATTTTCCTTCACCAATAATCCCATAACTAGTTAGGTTTTAAAAAAGAAAAGTAATACACTAATAGTTGTCTTATCCAAACTTTTTTTGAAAACTTAGCAACAACTAGATTTTGCAACATCTTCTAAACCTTTTCCAACAAAAATAGTCTCCAAAAAACTACAAGAATCACAGAAAGAGCAAAACATCTTTAATTTTAAACTACTTGCATATCGTATTAATTACAAATAGGTAAACACGTGAAAAATAAATAACCCACAGTGTGATGTTGAAAACTAATTTCATAATACTCACACACAAATACTCTTTTTACATTGGCACAACACATACACCCTTTACTGATAATTAAATAAACACCACCTAAAACACAAATAAAACATCTCCAGTGTCATATACAAATCATTATGATGTATTAATTTAATTACAATTAATTAAACACAAGCCGCATCTTAGATTATGCCAAGTTACCATTTGTAATACAAGTAATGATAAACCAAGTGCTTATATTCCTAACCCTCATGTTGTTAATTCTTGTTATCATAAATATACAGCCATATTTAGCATTTTATGTTAGAAGTTACTTGTCGTTATAAACTGTAGATATGCCATTTTGCATGCACAAACAAACAAAAAACGATATAATTTTCAAAATCTCTATAGTTGAAGAATCTGTTAACAGTTACAAAACATCATATGGCTACATGTCCCTGTAATAATATTTCAATAGTAAAAAACTTGTGAAACCAGTTATAACCACGTCATCTTAGTCTAATAACTTACATCAAATGTTATTTAATACCGTTAACATGTGAAATTTACTGTTTATATTTTCTCACCATTAACAACTTGGCTGAATTTTAAGTACATTTTTTTATATTTTACACACATTTTCTCTCTAAAATTAGCCACATCCAACTGTAGTCAATAAAAATTTCATAAACAACTAAACGTTCCTTGTTGAGATGGTCACGTGTGCTTACCTTACATTTCACACAAACACCACCACCTTTATAGTGTCCTTTAGTATTTAAGCTTCCATTTTTACTAGCAACATTTTCATCATAGTAGCATTCATCAGCATGGCCAAAACATTCACATTCTGTAAGAAAGTTAATATCAAAAATGTTCAAATGAATTTATACAACAGATACTTACTTTTGCAAATGAAAGATATCTTAATTTTTTAAAAACATAGTTCCGATCTTGCTTTTAAATATGCTAACCATTTAAGCATATGATTTAAACTAAAAATTCCTACCTCTTAAAGATATTTTCTGAATAGATGCACAAGCAGTTACATTTAAAGCAAATAATACTTGTTGAAGTGTCTTGTGATCCAATTTCTTTCAATTACTGAAGACTTAAAAACTAAACAAGTTTTAAGAGTTTCTCTTTTTTCATTTTCCAAGAAAAAAAGAGTAATTACTTTCACAGGCAGCAGCATCTTTATTTGTACCCGCTCTCCATGGTTTCTGGTTGTATAGTGGACAACAGTGGTCACACCGATCTCCACAGGTATTGTGCTTACACAAACAATGGAATTCCTGGAATCAGGTTAATTCACAGTGATTTACTTCAGTTTGCAAAGATGATCAAAACATAAAATATTATAACAAGTTTTAGAGAAATCACACACTTTGACAGTGTGCTATAATGTCTCTCAGAGAAGAACCAAATAACTTCTTTATTTTTTCTACTTTCAACACATTTTATCATTTTCAAAATGTGTATCATACCTTCACACACAAATCTATATCTGTAAAGGAAAGGATATAATTTTTTTAAAAATCAATATGTGTTATAGGTGAAAGCTTATAAAGCAATATTTTAAATAGGAAAGATACTACAGTTGTTTTATTGACTACATAACATAGTCTATAACATTTTTCAGTGAGACAAGGTCTTCACACTTATTCATTATACTCTGTGTGACATTAACATGTTTAGAGTACCTGTTATCTTGTTTAAATTTAGAGGAACAGAATTTGTCTCCAAAACTACATAATTTCAAAATCTGATACTTAAAGACCACCATGAGGTTGTGAGAGGACGCTACTGAAGATGGAGGACATTGAAAAGCTAAGCTCATAGATTTCTGAAAGTTATTTAACATTATTATTATTTGTAGTAATTTGGGTTAAATAACACCATAATAACTACATATAAGAAAATTGGTAAATAAAAGTAAGAAGGTAAAAGTTTTAAGTTAGCGTTTAGGGGTGTAAATTATTATTACAACATTTTAACTTAAAATAGACTTAGTATGTTTAATGGTACTTTAAAATTAGGTATATTTATACTCACTATTAAGTTGTAAAACAGGATAAATAAATATAAAAATTAATTTAGTTTCTTGGTGTTCTAGAATTAATGCGTTTATTTGAACTTAGATCCATTAGTTTAAATTCAGCTTACACTTTATAGATATAGGTAGGTTATAATATAAATCAGGCTAAAGTAAATACATTTTATTATTAATGTTACATATTTTGTTCTAATAAATTAGGTTCTATATAATTAAAGATAAACTTTGTTTTCACACTAAAGTAATAAAGTAGTGATAAAATCATATAACTGGTTCTTAAATGTTAGGCTTAATGGTAACAGCGTTAACAATAAGCTACTGGTATTTGGTATTGAGTATTATTTTCACTTTCAGACTATCAGTATAAATACAATGGTTACGACTAGTGTATGAGTTAAGCATTCACAGTTTGTTAGGTGTAATGGGTACAAGGAGTGGGTTTTATTTGGGAAATCTGGCCTAGAATATACTTTTAAAGAAGCTAGTAATGAAGATGTACAATTTTTATGTACAGTTTGTAGGTTGAAGGAAAAGTTACAGGCAATCATGATTAAAGTAGATGCAATAGATAAAGAAAATTGTAGATTGTGGGAAATGGCAGCAGGATTTCAGGAGAAGCTTAAGCTTTTACATGCAAGGGATACATCAGCTAACAATGATTTTAAGGAAGTTAGAAAAAGTACTGTTGAGGTTAAAAGTGGTGAATTTGGTTATAAAGCCTATTCTGTTGGCTTCTGCAGATGGGGACCTATTGGAGGGAAGGAAAACAAAAGGGTCAGAGAAGGATGTGGATGATAAGAAGGTTATAGTTATAGGTGATTCTTTGACAAGGCATGTGGACAGAATAGTCTGTGGGTAAGGAAAGAATCAGATCATGCTACCCAAGGGTACAGGTGGAGAACATAACTGACAAAGCAAGAGATATAACTGCAGTTTTTGTAGTACATGTAGGGGCTAATAATGTAGGAAAAGGTAGGTCAGATGAGCTAATTAATAAGTATAAGGGGTTGATAAAGGCACTTAAAGAAAATGGCCATAACTTAATTATGTTAGGGATACTGCCCAGAATTAACAGTAGGGATGAAGTTATAGGTAGGTTATTAGGGCTAAACTTAGGTTAGTATGTAAGGATGAGCAGATTGGCTGGTTGGACTTATGGGATCAGTTCAGTGGGAGAAGGGAACTTTTTGCAATGGTTTATATCTGAATAGAGTAGGGAGTAGCTTGTTTGCAAAGGCTATTAACTCAGCTGTAAGGGAAGTTTTAAACTAGGACTAGACAGTGGTGAGGGGAAGGAAAACTGAATACAAAAAGAATAAGAGGCAGAGAAAAGTTTGGCATAGGAAATAAGTATAGAAGCAGTTATAAAGATAGGCTTAATTGTTACTATTGTAATGCTAGAAGTATAAGATATAAAATAAATGACTTTAGAGCATTAGTAGGAATGGAGGATTTTGATATAATGGGAATAACTGAAACATGGTTAAAATAGATGATTTTGAGGACAGAAATTTCCTTGAAATACGGGGTTACAGTCTATTTAATAGGAATAGAGTATTAAAGAGGGTAGGAGGAGTGGCTTTATATGTAAAATATGAGTTGCATCCTGTTGAAGTTGAGAATATAAAAGATAATAGCAAAGAGATTGAATCCATTTGGGTTTCTATTGGTGGATATAAAGGGAAAAGGCTTTTAGTGGGAATTTGTTACAGACCACCAAATGATACTGATGAAATTAATGAGAAACTTTACAATGAGATTAAGATTTCAGCTGTTAATGAAGTCATAATTATGGGTGATTTTAATTTCAGGCTATATAGAGATTTGGAAATTCTAGAATC